TTACAACAATACCACAATTAATTGATGCCAATTACAATAATTCAGGCCACATGTACCTGCAAGCAAACATTCCAGTGGGTTGATTAGAATAGCCTCATACAATTAGTGTTTGCAGAAACTTGCCAAGGTTGGTTGGTGTCGTTGTTCTGTGGGTACTACTGGTGCAAATATTAACCTTCAAAATTAAAATATATTAATTTTTACAAATTTACTATCTGTAACATAATTCTAGGAAAATCACCTTCTGTAATTACTGAAGAGAAGGTTAATGATACTCTGGTAAGATCAGTATATCTTCAAATATTACGTGGTAGAGATGGTCGTGATGGACTACCAGGAAGAGATGGAGTGAAAGGAGAGAGAGGAGATAAGGGAGAGAAAGGAGAGAAAGGAGAAAAAGGTGAAACTGGAATCACTAGTGCTAAAAGTGGAGGAGTAGTGTACACTCGTTGGGGAAGGAAGTCCTGTCCTACTGGAGCTCAACTAGTGTATGAAGGAATAACTGGAGGTAGTTCCTACAGTCAATCAGGAGGAGGGGCTAACTATGTCTGTCTACCAAAGGTCCCTCAATATATGAGTACACATGTACCTCCTTTTCATTCCTACATGCATGGTTCTGAATATCAAAATGTCAATGGTATATGGCCAGGAAAGCATAATCACAATGTTCCTTGTGCAGTATGTTATACATCTACTAAGAGTGTTAAACTGATGATTCCTGCTAGAACCAGCTGTCCTTCATCATGGACTAGAGAATATAAAGGATATCTGATGTCTGAGAGACATATCCATCCAAGAAATGCTGTCTATGAGTGTGTTGATGAGGCTCCAGAATCCATTGCTGGTAGTCATAGTAATGCTGATGGTGCTTTGTTCTTCTTTGTGTTAACAACCTGTAATGGTCTACCCTGTCCACCTTATGTTGTTAACAGGGTCATAACTTGTGTTGTGTGCACCAAGTAATAAAGAACAATAGAGAATGAATGTTCATTTTTGATAATGTGTTACATGATTTTATGAACAATGATAATAATTTAACAAAAAATAATAATAATAATATTGGATTAAAATTTCTATATAGCATCAATATCCATGCCTGCCAGACCACTGGCTAGACATCAATGGCCTTTTGATGTTAGAACATAAAAAAGAACATCTGTGACCTGTGGGAATCCATACTTTGAGAGATAGTTCTAGTAAAACAACAGCATCCAGCACTCAGTTGTTGAGAAGTCTTATACCAAAGAATAAGCTTACTCTAGCTTGAGTGAGTTGCAAATGAATTGATATGCTTAGCTAGAGATTTTGATGCTGCAGAGGCTGGAATTAACTATTCTTTTAATGGCTACATTTTGAATCAGAAGATAGTACAATAGTGAGAAAAATTAAGATAGCAACTGGCAGACTTTTGATGTTAATGTCAAAAAGAAAATTTGTGAGTAAGCTAATAACATCAGTAGGTTTCTTCTCACTACTATTCTTGTTAAGGGTCCCACATGAAGGCTTAAACCAATCAAATATAACAATGCATACTATGAAGTATAATATGAAGCAAGATCAGAAGACATGGTTATTAGACTTTGATGTCTGTTCTCCAGTAGTATATAACAAGTGTAACAGGGTAAAAAGTATTCCTATAATTGATTTCACCACCTTGCAAGTACAACTTGGTCATTATTAAGACTTATAGAGGTTCTCTCTACCTTATAATGCTTCTAGAGAAGTCTTTAGACAGTATCTCTATGCTCTCTTGCTGTTAGAAAGCTCTTAACTTTGTCCCATGTGTAAGCCGCCATTTTGTTTGCCGTGACCACACCCACTCACGTAAAGGAGCGTGGGCGGGTGGTTGCTAAGGCTTGTTATTCCTCCAATACAACATGTATAGAAGAAATGTAATTGTGGACATACAAATATATATATATATATAGATAGCGCGACGGTGAATTCAATTATAGGAACGACCTGGGGGCTTCGCCCCCAGGTCGTTAAAAAGGGTGTAGTAAGAGTACATGTTAAACAGAATCTAGTCATGCAAGCTATATCTGGTCTTCTACTGGCCCTAGCCATCATCAGTGCAGCAGCAGCCATTAATGAAGGTAAATCTTATCAGTGAGCCATGTTGATTGCAATATAATTACGTTCATTTGATCATAAACATCAAAATTGAGCCCCACCAAACCTTGTTTAATCCATTGGCATCATAAGATTATACTAAAAAAGATAAGGCTAGAAGACTAGCTTTACTAACTTTGGTAATTGGTTTATATTGTACTTCCTGTCTTAACTCAATACCTTTACAACAATACCACAATTAATTGATGCCAATTACAATAATTCAGGCCACATGTACCTGCAAGCAAACATTCCAGTGGGTTGATTAGAATAGCCTCATACAATTAGTGTTTGCAGAAACTTGCCAAGGTTGGTTGGTGTCGTTGTTCTGTGGGTACTACTGGTGCAAATATTAACCTTCAAAATTAAAATATATTAATTTTTACAAATTTACTATCTGTAACATAATTCTAGGAAAATCACCTTCTGTAATTACTGAAGAGAAGGTTAATGATACTCTGGTAAGATCAGTATATCTTCAAATATTACGTGGTAGAGATGGTCGTGATGGACTACCAGGAAGAGATGGAGTGAAAGGAGAGAGAGGAGATAAGGGAGAGAAAGGAGAGAAAGGAGAAAAAGGTGAAACTGGAATCACTAGTGCTAAAAGTGGAGGAGTAGTGTACACTCGTTGGGGAAGGAAGTCCTGTCCTACTGGAGCTCAACTAGTGTATG